AACAAATTTATAGGTACAGATAATATTGAGATGTTTGCAGATGAGAGGGGTGTTGGTGAGATGGGTGAAAAAGGTGAAGGGATTAAGGTGTACAAATTGCCAGTTACAAAAAACAGTCACAGGGGTATAAAATACAGCATAAGGAACATAATCAATAATAATGTAATACTTATGTATGATGTTAGATGGGTACTAGACTTATAGCGGTGATTACTTCGTAAGTTACATAAATGTTTAATCATTATGTTGTAGACCTGAAACTAACAGAATATTGTATGTCAATTGCAGTTGAAAAAATTTAGAAGAAGAGGAGGAGAAGGAGAAAGGGGAGGAAGAGGAGGACGACAACGACGACGACGTGCTGTACTCGCAGTTATGGAAGATAATACAGTGCAGGGGGTAAGAAAAGGCATGGGATGAGTACTGGACCACAAGACAGGACCTAAGTTATGCCTTTGATTCAGTCACGTATTAGTCAAAGACTGTGTGTAAAGCATTTAACATCCCTAAACTAGGCTCATAAAATAAATGTGGATAATGTCATTTGTCCTGACTATTCTACAGCTGTGTGGAGCCAATTGGACACCGTACATATTTCAACAACTCACTCAATAGGCATCTATTGCAGGCCCACTCAATAGCGGATTCAATGTTAAATGCTACAAAAGTATATAAGTACATAAATATATGATAGCACTGTAGTTAATGGAATTTACTTGTTGAACAACAAACTTTATTTTCATTCTTATTGAAAGTCTTCCTAATATATTTTAAAATACTTTCTTAACATAGTAAGTAAACAAAATTATTTCTCTGGAATGATTAAGTTGTCTCACGCCTCAAAATTGTATGATCAATACCAGCCTCACCCATCACACAAGGTGTGGATGAAGAAGGTGGAGGAGAGTGGGCAACTGGACAGTGACACTTTAGACATTCCCTAAATAGATACTTCCCTTGTTCTAAGTTTTTATTATTACCTTCTTTGGTTATCAGTCTCACTTTTTCTTCAAAGTGGCTTACAGAAAAACACATTTTCTTAAAGATACCAGTTTCTTGGATTCTAATTTATAGGTTTGGCCATAATATTTAGAAAGACATGTTGCTAACATAAATACAGTAGGTATGTCATTGAAATATCCAAGACATGTACTGAAGACTGCATTTGGAAATCATAGCAATAAAAAAAAAAATAAAGAAGAGGTTTTCTCTCTTCTTTTATCCAACCTTGTGATTACAACTACTTATTTCTTTTAACCCTGCTGATAGATTTATGGAACACTTGATAATAGAAATCAGTTTCTTTCCATTCTATTTTTTTTAGTTGTCATCTCCAGAAATATGTGCAACAATAGTTCCAATAAAATCACAGCTATTAAGGAAACTTTATACTAAAAAAAAATAAATTGGGAAAAAAATCATTAAGTAAAATGTCTGATGTAAAGGCTATAGTGAATGAAATAAGATAGAAGAAAAAGGAGAAAGCCTTCCATCTAAATCTATGTTACAAATTTTTCACATTGATTAAATGTTGTTATTAAATCTATAGTTAATGGATTAAAGTTTCCAAGATGTTTAACAAGTTACATATTTAACATATTACAAGAAAATGCCAGATGATAAGCTTTTAAATGAAGGAACAATTTATATAAAATAAAATAAGGTATAAAAAGACAACTAAATTAAAATGTTTTATTACAAAACTTAAGCCAACAAATTAGTAAACAGCAATAAGATCATAAACAGACAGTGGGATTTGACTCTAATATACTTAGTAGAGTCTTGAATTCATTTGTGTCTCTAAATAGTCACATAGGAAAGCCATTTCAGAAGCTAGAATATATTCTCTTAATTAGAGGAGAGGGGCTGGACTGGTGTAAAAACACTTTGCCAATGCATGAGACAATTACCAATATTAGTAGATGCAATAGCATGAGGATCAGAGTAATGATAATAAAAGAAATAGGCAAAGATAATACAATTGTCATGATTTAGAAAGACACAAGAGAGCTTTTTCAACACCACCTGTAACCTGAATTGTGTTGAAGGAAAGGCTGGAAATGCTAATAAGGAATATGATTAAAGGTGGCCCTGTGGTTATAAATTGCTTTTTTAATGGTGATGATAGTAGCTGACATAGAGTATAATAAGAAGATGAGAATGTCACTATCAATTTTTATTAGTGTCATGAACAATATACAGTTTATTTAAATTAGCTTCATTTGTATTAGTATTTTTGTAAGTGGTAGCTCTAGAAGCAATAACATGTTCAATGCATTCTAAAAAGAAAAAACTAAATAAAGTTGCCAGTGTTCTCTACAAAAAAGCCATAACTTTTATGCTGGGGAAAATATGCCACATTTCCTAAGATACTCAAAATTCAGGCATATAACCAATTCTGGATTATAGATTGAAAAAAATCTGAGGAATAAATTGCAAGAGCAATTGTAGCAAATGGATAAAGTTCTACAAAACTAAAAAGACACTAAAGTATAACCTCTATACATATAAACTTTTCCACACATATAGAAATTTCCCACAAGATTTGCATAGAATAATAACTAGGGTCTATATCTGAATCAACATAAACCATTTAAGAAACAACTTAGGACCTATTCAGCCTAACCATGGTCATTCTGTTGAAAATAAGCAATTATAAAATTAGCAATAATCAGTTAGCAATTTTCATAAACTGATTTTTATTATTAAAATAGGTAAAATAGTTTTGTTTATGAATTTCCTCAGCGATTATCATTAGCTTTCTGAGTTAGTCTAATGACAAGTTAGGCAAAATTAAATTTGATAAAATAATTTCTAGAGAATTAGAAGAATAAGAAAAATCATTTTTAATTAAAATATATCCTTTGAATTTCAGAAAACTAAGCTTTGAAAGGTATACCATTTGGGTTAAAGTGTAGAATTTTAAAATCCAGCTGCTGAGGACATGAACAATAAATCTTTTTTTTTTTTAATTTATTTTCTAGACAGTTAGTATTAACTGCGTATGAGAGAAAGCATAGCCTGGTAGCCGAGAAGTTGGTCTCTGAGCAAGAAGTCTGGATTATTTACTAGTTGTGAAATCTTTGACTATTTACATAAACTTTATTTTCACTTTCTTCATCTGAAAATTGGAAATCTCATAGTTTCTACCTTGTAAGATTGCTGTGAAGTTTAAATGAGACAGAGTGATGAATAATACCCAAGTTTCTGGCACACAATAAAACCTCAATAATATCAGTTTTATTATAATTATTAATGCTAATAGAGTGCTTAAATAGTCATTTTTATTTTTCCAGAAAGTTTATATTAAACATTTCCTCCCCACAAAGTTGCTTCTCTCTGCTACTTCCTTCCATTTTTTCTATGAATTATATATTTCTCCTTAGGGCAAAGCACATGGTTATTCCTTCAGCATTCTCTTTTTCAAGTTATTTTTCAAGACACATCGCTCAAAATCCTATTTTCTCCCTCCGAATAGTTTGAATCCCTAAAAAGACTGACTAAAAATACAGTTACTTCACAATAAAACACAGTAAAAACACAAGCAGAGGACCATGAGTTTTGAGGTACCCTATTTCTACTGTAGACCACTAGAAAACCATTCCTTGAGATGCCAAAGATCTTTGAACCCTTGATAATTTTAAACTCCTCTTGATCATTCTGCAGGGGACATAAAGTCTCTAAACTGGTAAGAATTTTAAATGAGAACAGATTTAATAAACAAGAATTTAAATGAGCCAGACAATTCATTTACTCCTGCCCCAGTGTGGGGGTGTACTATGTGTTCTGCTCTTATAAAGTAGTTTAAAATCTAAAATTCTCAATGACAAAATTGATAATGTAGGCAGGACCATGGATTCCCTACTAACGAATTTACACAAAGAACATCAGCGTGAAAGCTTGTCCTCAATTCTGATAGATATGTGTTCTACTAAGTAGGTGAACCAACAATGACAGAATGAATCATGTGGAACACAGAAATAATTAAGATAGCTCTGCTTCAGAAAATCACAGAGCACAGTTGTTTGGAAAAATAACTATGTAAACTGATAACATATATATTATGAATTTCAGTGTGTATCAGACATTATTACACATCCTCCAGTTTTCAAACATTTTCCTAAGAAACAAATATAGACCACTGTTGTTTTTATAAGGGTAGATTAGATAGTGGATTTGGGTCTTTCTGGGTTTGCGATAGCAAATTTAGAGGAGACAAGGGACTTACCTTGTTCCTGACACAATTTCACTAAAAGATATCATCAGTGCAGAAAATGTATCATTAGTATGTGTTTCTATTTAAATATGTACTTTAAAAAACTATACCTCACAAAGATATTGTGAAAGAAAATCTACTTAGAGTTTATTCTGCAAAACTCATTAAAGTGGACTTTTCAGAATATTACCTGAAGTGCATTACAGGAAATGCTTGGATCCACCCAAAAACCTATCAGTTACATTATTTTCAAATGTCTACATTAAAAAAAAATCATGTGGTTACTTGATAGAATTATCTAATTATTTTAAAAAGTAGAGGATTTAGGATGAGTCATCCATTAATCAAGTTCACAGATAAACAGCTCAGTTCTTCAGTGCATAAACAAACCACATGCAAGTTGTGCATACACTCCATGGAGAAAAGTGAAAAATTACTCACATTACGGCAAAATATTGCTATTTTTTGTTTTCACAATAGTAGCTTGAATTATTTTGGTTATCAATAGTTTCTCCTTTCTCCTTTTCTTCGGTGTGTAGACAAAGGCTATGTGAAATAAGCCCATTGGCTTATTCCTCGTACTAAAACAGGGATTCTGAAGCTTAAAAAGTACAAAACGTTCTAATAATTAAATCAAGTCAATATTAGAAAATATTG